TGTATGAAAAGTGAATTTACTCTGTAAATCTTCACCCAAATCCTAATAAAAAAAAAAAATATGGCCAACAAGCACATAAACAGATGCTCAACTTCATTAGCCATCTTGGAGATGCAAATCAAAACCACAATGACACCACTTCACCCACACCAGAATGGCGAGAATAACAATTGAAAAAAAGAAAGATATAAACAAATGTTGGTGGGGATGTGGGGAAACTGGAAACTTACACACTGCTAAGGGGAATGTGAATGGAAAACAGTCTGGCAGTTCCTCAAAAGATTAAACATGGAGTTACCACATGTTTCAGCAATTCCACTCCTATCAGCATACCCAAGATAAATGCAAATGTATTCTCACAAACACTTGTATACAAACGTTCAAAGCAGCATTATTCATAACAGCCCCAAAGTGGAACCAACTCAAAAGTCCGTCAATGGATGAATAAGTAAACAAAACATAGTACATCCATACAAAGAGTCTCACGCAGTGGTAAGGAGCCACCTTCTGATACACAAGACCCCATGGAGGAAGCCAGAAAACAGGATGCTGAGTGAACTAAGTCAGTCACAACAGACCACAAACTGTCTGATTCCATTTATATGCAATGTCCAGGACAGGCAGATCCATAGAGACAGAGAGCAGACTTGTGGTTGCCAGGGGCTGGGGGAGATGGAAGGGAGGGTGCTGGAGAGATGGCAGGGAGCTAAGGTGTGTGGGGGTTTCTTTTCAGGGTAAGGAAAGGTTCTAAAATGGATTGTAGTGATGGATGCACAACTTTGCAAATCGACTACAAACAACTAAATTTACATTTCACTGTAAATGGTATTCTATGGGAATAATGTTGGGGGTCAATGCCAACCCATAGTGACCCCATGGAACTGAGTGGAATTGCCTGGTGTGGTTTCTAGTGTGTGATCTTTATGGCAGCAGGTCACCAGGTCTTTCTCCCATAGAACCCCTGGGTGTGCTTGAACTGCTAACCTTCCAGTTAGTGGGCAAGTGCTTAGCTGCTGCACCACCAGACTCCTCTGTGAATAATCAAACTCTTTTTTTGTAATGAGGAAGAAGCCGAGGTGTGTCAGGAAGGTGCTGGACTTGGAGTCACAAGAGAGCCATGTCACTCAAGGGCAGTGGCCGAACCTCTCCAAGCGCAGGACCACAGAGCATGGTGTTTGAAGGTAGTCAGTGTACCGAGCAGGGTTAGACACAGGGTGGGAGCCCAGAGAGACTTGTGGGATGCGTGGCTAACAATGGGAAGGTATATGTTCACTTTGTGCAGAAGCATTGAAGGAGAGGGGT